TAGTACTGGAGTGAAATTGTTTCGTTAATACTCTTCGTAAAATTGACCGAACTGCATAATAAGCAGATAATTGTATATATATATATATAGCTTTCGGAACAGTAATGACGAAATTCGGATGATGCAGTTTGTGGGCGTATTATTTGCGGGAGGTGAAAAATGTTACAGGCAGAAGGAGGAGTGGCAGACCCCACAAAGTATATACATATATTCTTGATCAGCATGACAAGACGAGTCGCTTTATGTCTGTCTGTCCGTCCATATGATCACCTAGATCTCAGAGAATATAAGAGATAGAGACCTTATGTGTGTACGCTATAAGAGTTTGTTTTATTTTTTTGATTTCCCACCCCCACTTCCCCCCTATGTGGAATATTCAGAAACGCCATTCATATAATCACATGTGTATATCTCCGAGAGAATTAGACCTAGGGATACCAAATTTTATTCCAATATACCCTATATAAATACGCAAATGTGTATTTCGGAATTTCCCTGCCTCCCCCATCTCCACCGCATTTCGTGATTTTTAATAACTCTCATAATTCTTGGAATTTACTAATTATACCCTGTATCCAAAGGGTACAAGGGAATATTAGTTTTGTGCGAGTGTACATGGAACACACAGAAGGAGACGTGGCAGACCCCACAAAGTATATATATTCTTGATCAGCATGAGTCGATATAGCCATGTCCGTCTGTCTGTCTGTATGAACGCAAGGATCCCAGAAACTATAAGAGCTAGAATAACCAAACTTGGTATACAGATTCTCCTGAGCCCGAGAAAGGACGAGTTTGTTCATTCAGAAAAAATGAACAAACTCGTCCTTTCTCGGTCTCAGGAGAATCTGTATACCAAGTTTGGTTATTCTAGCTCTTATACTTTCGGAGATCCTTGCGTTCATACAGACAGACAGACGGACAGACAGACGGGCTTGTCATGCTGATCAAGAATATATATACTTTGTGGGGTCTACCAAGCCTCCTTCTGTGTGTTCCATGTGCACTCGCACAAAACTAATATACCATTGTACCCTTTGGGTACAGGGTATATAAATATATTCAATATATATGGCACAAAGTTGAACCAAAAAAGCAACAACAACAACAGCTGCGGGCAGAGCTTGGACAGAGATTATATGTATTGCTACGGAATTGCGGGGAAGTGGGGCGGTGGATCGGAAAAAACTTAAGCTCGTAATTTCTGGGACCTAGTAGAAATCTGTATACCAAGTTTGGTTATTCTAAGCCTTATACTTTCTGATATCCTTGCGTTAATACAGACAGGCGGACAGACGGACATGGCTATATCGACTCGTCTTGCCATCCTGATCAATACTATATATACTTTGTGGGGTCTGCCACGCCTGCTTCTGTGTGTTACATACATTCGCACAAATCTATTATAGCCTTTTACCCTTTCGGTACAGGCTATAAAAATGTATAAATTTCATTAATAAAATTATTGAAATTGAACACAAAATATATAAAACGTGCTTAGAGACATATTGTAGGGGCATTTAGGTTTCGTCTTTGTGTATCTATGCGCGTGTGTGTGTTTTTGAACAGTACAGAGTTGAGAGAAAACAGCAACTGCGGGCAGAGCTGAGATCAACGACAGTCAGTGATGACCCTGGAGCTATCGGAATTGGAATCCAGTACCTTAAGCGCCTCTCGGCTGTCCGAGAATGCTACTTTGATTCTCTGTTTTACCACTGTGGCACGCGATGGTACATTCTGTATTATATAATCAACGTTTATTGTGTGCCTTGCCGTGAAAGAAAAGGGAAATAGGAAAAACACGACGAAGAATGGTATGGAGTGTGTGGCAAGATGCAGACACAAAGAGTGCTATGCACTTGCTGTAGCCTCAGCTTCTTGCAACTTAAGGCTGGTGCTTTGATAGTTGCTTTGGTCAAATCATGGCAGAATCTGCGCAGTTACTTGACGATTCAAAGCCCCAGTCTCCGGCAGTTCGAATGTCTAATGTACATTAATACAGCTTGTGTGACTGACTGTATGTAGTTGTTCTTAGCAATGCTGAATGCCTCATTTAGGTGCAGCAACAGCAGTAGCGTTGCAGTGGCAGTTGTGCTTCTGATGCTTTAGCAGCAGTACGCTTACGTAAGGGGTATATTTTACAAATGAAACCTGCGATATGCTCGCAATTACAGATACAGATTTATACACGTATGTGTGTCTATACATACATATGTATGTACATATATATATGTATGAAGCGCCAATTTATACAAACCAGCAGTAACATGTTTTGAATTAACGCTGTTGTGCCATGTACACATCAGTGTCTGGGAACTACTACTATATACAGAACAAGAAAGAAATGCTACAGTCGAGCGGGCCGAACTCTTAAATACCCTGTACCCACTCCCATGAGTCAAAAAATAAAATTATAAAAGATATATGTACATTTATTTTAATTAATTAAATAAAGTTAATAAAAGTATATTAGTAAAATTCAAAAATATATTACACCTATGTCATAAATATCAAGTTCATCAGAGAGAAAAAGTATATAAGTGCTGGAAATCAACTTTAAGGTTCATAAAAAAACTGGCGAACAGACCTTGACAAGACAAGACATGGAAAAGATTATTGCAAATTGATTGTTGCTTTAATTTTTATAATTTTTTTTTAAGGGTGGGGGGTGGTGTATTAAGCATTTAAAAGAACAGTTTTTCCGAGCCATGTACATAATATACTATATATACATGATCAAATGTATGTACTATACGATTAATTATTAATTAATTATATGTATGCATTTTAATCATTTACATTTGAACATAAGTATAAAATAATTTAAGTTAGTCCATTCTCTTGATTAGATGATAAGGTATAGTGCACAATACTTCACTTCTTTTTATACCCTGTACCCGTAGGGTAAAAAGGGTATATTAGGTTTGTGCAAAGTATGTAACATGCAGAAGGAAGCATCTCCGACCCCATAAAGTATATATATTCTGAATCAGCATGACGAGAGAAATCGATCTAGACATGTCGGTCCGTCCGTCTGTCCGTCTGTCCGTCCGTCTGGATGAACGCAAGGATCTCAGAAACTATAAAAGCTAGAATAACCAAAGTTGGCATCCAGATTCTCCTAGGTCCGAGAAAGGACGAGTTTATTTTATTTTTTGGAATTTTCCCCCCCCTTCCCCCGCTACAGAATTTCGTCAATAGCGTCCACATTTCAAATGTTACCTGAACCAAACTGCACACATAATTTATATATAATTATCTACTGTTGTTCAAAATTTTATTCAATTCGGTCAATTCTAAGAAAAGTTATTAACGAAACAAATTCTCGCCAGTACAACCCCCCAAACTGCAGCAACAAGTTCGCTCTTCTTCTTCCTCTTTTAGCTGCTGCTATGGGCGCATATAACTCAGTGACGGAAGTTTACCTGGGTACAGGGTATTACACTGTCGGGCTTGCTCGAATGTAGCGTTCTCTCTTGTTCATTTTAGAAACAAAACTTGTTTTGGGTTGGATGGAATGCAAATTGCATTGTAAAGTGTATTGACAAATGCAAGATAAATTGATTTTGGTTTTGTTTTTGTTGTATTATTGCTGTTATTTGTTCTGTTGCTCATGTTGTTTTTTATACCCTGTACCCGTAGGGTAAAAAGGGTATATTAGGTTTGTGCAAAGTATGTAACATGCAGAAGGAAGAACATCCGACTCCATAAAGTATATATATTCTGAATCAGCATGACGAAAGAAATCGATCTAGACATGTCCGTCCGTCCGTCTGTCCGTCCGGATGAACGCAAGGATATCAGAAACTATAAAAGCTAGAGTAACCAATGTTGGCATCCAGATTCTCCTAGGTCCGAGAAAGGACGAGTTTATTTTATTTTTTTTTAATTTTCCTCCCCTTCTCCCGCTACAGAATTTCGTCAACAGCGTCCACATTTCAAATGTTACCTGAACCAAACTGCACACATAATTTATATGTAATTATCTACTGTTGTTCAAAATTTTATTCAATTCGGTCAATTCTAAGAAAAGTTATTAACGAAACAAATTCTCGCCAGTACAACCCCCCAAACTGCAGCAACAAGTTCGCTCTTCTTCTTCCTCTTTTTGCTGCTGCTTTGGGCGCATATAACTCAGTGACGGAAGTTTACCTGGGTACAGGGTATTACACTGTCGGGCTTGCTCGAATGTAGCTCTCTTGTATAACCGTGTTCTCACGCTACAGCAACAACAATAACAAGTAGATCATTTGGCAAACAAATGCTTGTTATTATTTAACGCCTTGTCAATTGGCAACTGGAACGGAACTTGTCTAAATGCCAGGCAGGTTATACTCGTAGATAGCGGCATAACAACTGGTTAGTTCAATCGCAGCAATAGCATCCAATAAATTCCATTTGATTTGCGCATAGGTCGGTGTTTGCTGCTTATTGCTTCCAACATAATTGCCAAACAGCAGGTAATAAATAACAAATGGAACAAGAGAGAACGCTACACTCGAGCAAGCCCGACAGTGTAATACCCTGTACCCTGGTAAACTTCCGTCACTGAGGTATATGAGCCCATAGCAGCAGCAAAAAGAAGAGGAAGAGCTAAGATGATGCTGCAGCTTGTGGGGGTAGTACTGGAGTGGAATTGTTTCGCCAATACCGATTTGGATGAAAAGTACATTATTATATGTAGATTAAGTATATAAAATTTGGTTTATATACTTTGCGCACCCCTAATTTACCCTTTTACCCTACGGGTACTGGGTATTGACAATTTTGTATCGGTAGTACTTTAGAATGCATATTTGCATCGGAAATATGTTTATGTGTCAACGCGAGTCTGTGTGTGAGAATGTGTGCAGTACAGAGTTAAGCTAAAGCAGCAGCAACAGCTCCTTGCAGCTCACTTTTCACAAGCCTTAAATGCTATTTTACTTTTTAGATACCATTAAATACAGAGCCTAAACATTACTATTTTTTAATGTGTTTCTTATATCTTATTCTTACAGATGCATGCAGTTTTTTGGGCTCACCAGCTCATAGTACTGTCGTCTTCTCGAACTCAAATCTCACACAAGGCACAGTCGCTTCCTACACTTGTGAGCGTGGCTTCGAGCTACTCGGTCCCGCACGGCGTGTTTGCGACAAGGGACAGTGGGTACCAGAGGGTATACCGTTTTGTGGTAAGTACATATTTACTTAAGCACGAGTTTAAGTTTCTCCATAGGGTAACAGGAGAAAACGCTACAGTCGAGCAAGCCCGACAGGTAAATACCCTGTACCCAGCCAAACTTTCGTCACTGCGTAATATGCTCCTCTATCAGAAGTAAAAGAAGAAGAGCAAATTTGATGCTGCAGTTTGTAAGCGTAGTACTGGAGTGAAATTGTTTCCCTAATAGCTTTTCTTTTCTATTACGTGTACAAAAATTGGTTTCTGTTGCTTTTGAAATGTGGACAGTATTCAGGGTAGGTCAAGAATTGATTTTGAAATATATAACTATATATGCAGTGCTGTTGATCCAGGAATAAATGTGGTAAAGTACTGGAAAAAACAACAACAAAATTTGAATTGCTAAGGCAAATATGAAGACATATAGTCATTATTCTTGAGAGCTTTTCAAACAAGTGAACGAGTTTTTTTCACTTCTGGAGAAATTTTAAATAAGCGACGAGCTCGGCTTCTTAGCTCAAATATAGATGAGTGCATATTCTTTAATACAAATTTGAATTTGAATATGGATATATTTTTCGTTTTTATATTTAATGGGTATAACAGGTTCATCTTGGCCCGTGTTTATAAATATTTTCGTCGAGCGTGCGCGTGCGTGTTTCCAAAAGTTCATTCCGTGGCCAGCCCATGCCCATCTCTAGTACAGGGTATAAGAAGAGAAAACGCTACAGTCGAGCAAGCCCGACAGTGTAATATCCTGTACCCAGGTAAACTTCCGTCACTGAGTTATATGCGCCCATAGCAGCAGCAAAAAGAGGAAGAAGAAGAGCGAACTTGTTGCTGCAGTTTGGGGGGGTTGTACTGGCCAGAATTTGTTTGTTAAAATTTTAACAACAGTATATAAATATGTATAAATTATGTGTGCAAAGTTTGGTTTAGGTAGCATTTGAAATGTGGACGCTTTTGACGAAATTCTGTAGCGGGGAAAGGGGGGGAAAATTCCAAAAAACAAATAAATAAATAAATAAATAGACGGACGGACAGACGGACGGACATGTCTAGATCGATTTCTTTCGTCATGCTGATTCAGAATATATATACTTTATGGGGTCGGAGATGCTTCCTTCTGCATGTTACATACTTTGCACAAACCTAATATACCCTTTTTACCCTACGGGTACAGGGTATAAAAATTTTATCTAAAACAGTCCATTGTAGAAAGTACAAGCTGAAGCATCAAGTACACTCTTTATAGCCTGTACCCAAAGGGTAAAAGGCTATACTAGTTTTGTGCGAATGTATGTAACACACGGAAGGAGGCGTGGCAGACCCCACAAAGTACATATATTATGGATCAGGATGACACGACAAGTCGATATAGCCATGTCGGTCTGTCCGTCCGTCCGTCTGTCTGTATGAGCGCAAGGATCTCAGGAAGTATAAGAGCTAGAGCTAAGCAATTTTTTTTTTATTCTGATGCACCACCCATTCCCCCGCAATTCGTGTTTTTTTATAACTTCCGTAATTTTTGGGTTTTTGTACTCAAATTTGGTAAATACCTCCAGTTAGTGAATATGAGTATGCCAAGTTTCCTCATGATAGGTCAATTCTGAAGAAAGTTATACTTGCAGCTCTGCCCGCAGCTGTTGTTGTTGTTGCTGCTTTGGTTCAACCTTGTGCCGCATACATACACGCATATCAACACGCACGACTGGTGCGTTAGAATCTGCTATCTTTATCGATTGTCCATTGAGAATTTCATGACATTTTATCAATTGGAAGTGAAGTTATTGCGTTTTAAGTGTCAGTATGTTTGTGTTATCGGTGCGAAAATGAGCTTCGAACAAAGAGCCAACATTAAATTTTGTTTTAAAATTTGTAAAACTTTTACCGAAACGTTTCAATTGATGGAACAAGTTTATGGCGATGATTGCCTCTCCCGTAGCAGAGTGCACGAGTGGTTTCAACGTTTTTAAAGTGGTCGTGAGGACATAAATGACGATCAACATGTGGGCCAATCAAAATTCGTGATCACCGAAAATTCCATCGAAACTGTGCGTGAATTCATCAAAAATCAGCCGAAATCATCATTGAAATTGATCGAAATGGAATGGAACATCTCCAAAACATCGATATCGCATTTTGACCAAACATTTGGGCTTACGAAAGGTGTGTGCACGGTTTGTTCCCCACAAATTGACTGACGACCAAAAATTGCTCAGAATCGATCGACGCTTCTGATCGATTATTTGACCAAAAATCACATTTTAACCATTAACCACTCGCCGTATTCACCTGATATGGCACCGTGCGACTTCTACCTTTTCGGAAAAATGCATTTGCCCATGAAAGGAAAGCGTTATGCAGACGTAGAGCCCATTCAAAAGGCTTGCACCGGCATACTGGCGGCCATACCGGCCAACGAGCTAAAACACTCGTTCGATATGCTTTTGGATCGTGCAAAAAGCTGTATTGAAGCAGAAGGAGGCTATTTTGAATAAAATAAATTGATTTTGCCGAAAAAACCATTTGTCCTTTTTTTTGTCTTGTACATGAAATGTACAAGAGTATATTCTAATTATTCTACATATATGTATAAAGTATTTCAAAGTCGGGACACCCGACTTTACCTTCTCTAATTGTTTTCTTCTTCTTTTTACTTCTGATATGGGACATATAACTCAGAGCCAGAAGTTTGTCTGGGTACAGGGTATTACAATGTCGGGCTTGATCGAAAGTAGTGTTCTCTCTTGTTATAATATATCCTTCTAGTATTTGTGCATATACTTTTAATGTTGATATTTAAATATTTCACAATTATTCTCAGTGTTGCACGATCAAAATTGTAGTAGTCCTTGGACAAATATTGCAAAACAATATAAATGTGTTGTTATTATACCCTGTACCCGTAGGGTAAAAGGGGTATATTAGGTTTGTGCAAAGTATGTAACAGGCAGAAGGAAGCATCTCCGACCCCAAAAATTATATATATTCTTGACTAGTCGATCTATGTTTGTCTGTTCGTCTGTCCGTCCGTATGATCACCTAGATCACCGAGACTACTATATATGTAAGAGATAGAGGTTATATATATTATATGTGTATGTTATATGTGTTATACGTGTATGTTATCTTTGCCCAAGCACTGCTAGCAATTGTTGGTGTTACTGCCTTGCACAGGCACAAGAGACATACACCCATAGACATGAATTATTATTCTACACATACATATGTACAGGGTATTTCAAAATCGGGACACCCGACTTTTAGCTTTAGCTTCTCCACGGTTTTTTTATAAGCTTTGTTGGTTCCCCCAAACGGCTAACCAATGTGGCTGTAATATGTGGCATGTGGCGTCGACAGACAGTGGATAACATTTACTCGCACTTTAAAGTCAATGAAACTGTTGGTCACACGCACGTACACGTACTATACATAAGTACGAGAACATACATATGTACATGCGCACTCGCTTAGAACGAAAGCAACAGGCAGCTGCAGCGGAAGTCGGCTATAAAGTTGCGCTTACGTGTATAAGCGGGAACTGCAGCAACAGCAGCTCAAGCACAACTTGTAGTGTCATCCGTAATCGTGTGATCGTCATCATCGAAATCAGCTGCAGTAGCAGCAAGAGAGAAAAAAGAAAGCGTTAGAGGAGACGGGCAGTCAATTTTTTCGAGCAATAGCGGAGATAATGGCTGCGTCGCAAGTTGCTGAGATGCATCTGATTAATGAATTTCAATGCCACGTCTGTCGCTCTTGCTGGCGCGTAGAAATGCGTAGCGATGTAATTAGGCCAGTCGAGGCCAAAAACTACAGCCACAACAGCAACAAATGGTGTGTACTGAAGTGCGTGAAATAAAAAAAGTTTACAAGCATAAAAATTTCACTTTTGCAATCGTCTCTGCTGATCAAAAAAGCGAATGTAGGTATGATCAGTATCACCTCATGGTATGAGCCAAGTACACTGATTTTGAGCTTTGTATTTGGATTAGAATTTATGATTGAATACTGCGATTTTCGATTTTTGTACCCGGTACCCAAGGGATGAAAGAGTATACAAGTATGTTCAATCCTAACGAGGTCCTAAATAAACGTAAATTAATTGATAAGCTAGATTTGCTCTGTCTGGACCACGAATGGTACATTATAGATAAAACCTCGATAAGGGACACAGATATGCTCTCTTATACACATAATAATGAGTTCGGCCTCAGATGCCGAACATAACACCAACATTTTCGTAGCTGGCAGGCGCCAGCTCAATAGAGAAGGATGTGTACGTACACAAATCATTAGCTAAGGCTCGCCACCGCGCTGGATGAGCATGCTGCGGCTGGCTAACATGAGCTACCTGATAAAGCACGCACACATCGTAGAAGATAAGGAATCGATGATAGTATGTAGACGATAACATAAGAACTAGGATAAGAATTTATATATAAATAAAGCAGTCGAGCTATCGACGTTGTCCATTCATCCACAAAACTTTGTCGCGTATTATTGTCCTCGCACCAATCCTGCTCCGCTCAATACAGTATACATACTAGTTTCGTGTATGCAACATACAGAAGAGGTGTGACAGACCACAGACCCACAGCATATATGTATTTTCTTCAACAGTACGGCTAGATGAGTCGATATAACCGTCCGTCCGTCTGTCCGTATGAACGCAAGGATCTCGAAAAGTATAAAAGCTTGAATTAGCAAACTCCCACAATATGTGATTTTCCCGTCGTTCTTGGAATTTTGAACTCAAATTTGGCAAATATAATGCTAACATTATGCCAAGTTTGACCTTAATATGTCAATTTTAAAGGGAGTAATAGCCACAAATCACAAATCAGTCATGAATTAACAAAGACACAATTGCTAATTCAGGTAAAAAACCCCTTATGGAAATTGGCATACCTAAGGAGATATAATCGATTAAAAAACATTTTTTGTAAAATTACAATTTCGACGTTTTTTCAATTTTCCTAATTTCTAAAATTTTTTGCAGAGTATTTTTAGTTGGGATACCCGACTTTAGCTTCAGCTTCGAACAGTTTAGCATTTGTCAACATTTTTAACATTTTAGCTGCAAAAATTTCATTCTTTACACAATGGTTACTACTTGTATAGTCGCAATTCTTTGATATAAGATAATGGGCGCATTCACCAGGGAAATCTGATCACTGATCAGTAATTTTACTGATTTTTTTACTTCACCGATATTCCCTTCTGAATGAACTGAAAACTACATTCAGCTGCGACTTATCAGAGATCCATGGTCAGTGATCAAAGTGCTCTGGTGAATGCGCCCAATGATTCGAAATTTAGTATAGCCGATTGTTACTGTGTTGCCAACTTGAAATAAAAAGATATGTCCCTATCGGAGAACTTGCTTGATTTTAGGATCATAATTTTTATATTTTATCTATTTCTGACAAAGAATTGTCAATATGAAAACAAGGGTCACAGTCGCAAATATTAATAATAGGCAAATATGTATTCAATCAAATATAAAAATAACAAAATTAAAAATATTTGAAATTGATATTAAAATATTATATTCTGACCTTGGAAAATTCTGTATACTTGATCTAATCAAATTGATAGAGCTTTCAGGGCCAAAGAAATGCAAAAATTGATTATAATTGTTAGAACCCAAAACGAATTGTGCAAAGCATAGTTAGTGGTGCAACGACTTAAACTTAATGGTGTACAAGATCTTGCATGTCTTTAAGGAACAGCAAAGTTTCTTTGACTAAAAAAGCACTGAAGACTCGATTTCACCAATAAATGATTTATGTATTTGTACACAGTACTAATAAACTGTAATAGAATTGTGTAAACTAGATTCATGTATTTTACTTTTTCCACGAAGCTTTTTACCTCGGAAAGGAATTTTTATATCGATTTAGACTCCACTCATAATTACACACTTTGGTTTGCATGTGTTAATGTCTGTATGCGCTTGCTGCCTTTAAATAATTTGCATTTAGGCAACAAGCCAGCGGCCTTGTAACCAAAATTGTAAAGAAAATGAGAAAACTGGCAACAACAATCGCACATTTTCAAACGCCTGTTAAATACAATGAGCAGAAAAGAACGCAACAATTACAAAAACAGTGCCAACAACATGCAATCTTAGTCTCATACATAGAGGTATAAAAGCTTGCGACCAGCTTTGGCTAATGACAAATTGTTGACAAATTTTCAGCTCACTTGGGCACACAGCGGTGAACACATGAAATAAAGAACTCTGTGCCACTAAGCGTGTCAGGGTAATGTTGGCATCAACACTTATTCATGGCCAATTAGCACTTGAAGCTTTAGCCAGAAGTTTTAGAGCCCAGACCTTGGAGAACAATTTTGACAGCAGTGGGAAAATGATTATAAGTAAATACAATGAGAGAACCTTGCCATCAAATAGCAACATTCCTTGGGACTAATATATGGTAGATTCTTATTTTACCGTCAGAGGAGAAGCTGTGGCAAATATTTTACTTTTCAATATCGAGGATGCAGAATCATCACACATCCCCAGATCCTACCAAACATTTGATTTTGCTTACTTCGAATCATGAAAGATACATTTTAACAACAAATAACGCTACAGTTGACAGTGAAATACCCATAGCAGAAGCATAAAGAAAATGGAGAGCGAATTTGATGCTGCAGTTTGTGGGCGTAGTACTAAACTTTGGAGCAAAAGTAGAAATTGTATATACAAGTAGATTACGTGTGCAAAGTTTGTTTTATGTAGATTTTGAAATGTGGACGGAATTGACGAAATTCTCTAGAGGGGGGGTGGGGGAAGAGAATCAGAACAAGAAAGGAATGCTAGAGTCGAGTGGGCTCAACTCTTAAATACCCTGTACCCACCCCACAAAAAAAATTTTTTTAGGACGAGTTTGTTCATTTTTTCTGAATAAATAGGGGTGAGTGGGGGGGCCACCCCCCCACAAAAAAAAAAATTGAAAAAAATATATTTAAAAAATTTTTATTAATTTAATTACGAAAATTTATTTAATACATACATAGAAGACATGCTTATGTACAGTTTTACATTTACATCACGAGTCTATGCGTGTAGTATCTAGCACAAAGTTGAACCAACACCAACAACAGCTGCGGGCAGCGCTGCAAGCAGAGCATGGGCAGCGATTTTATTTATGGCTATAACATTCTTTAGAATTCATAAGCACTAACTGGGCGTAACTTCTAAAACTGATATCAAAATTCAAAGCTCTTGTACCTTCTGAGATCCTTGCGCTCATACAGACGGACGGACAGACGGACGGACGGACAAGGCTATATCCACTCGGCTTCTCATCCTGATCAAGAATATATATACTTTGTGGGGTCTGCAACGCCTCCTTCTGTGTGTTACATACATTCGCACAAAACTAGTATAGCCTTTCACCCTTTGGGTACAGGCTATAATTAATGTTAAAATATTTAATTAATTAATTAATTAAATTAAATATAAATCACTCAATATATACACATATCTATATATAAGTGTTTACATTTGTACAGTTTCAACACCATAGATTTACATTAGAATCGTGTCACTTCGTTTTTATGTGAGTGTATGCATAACAAGACGAGTCGATATAGCTCTGTTTTCCCCTTGTCGGAATTCGAATACCCAAGGAGGTATAATCGATCAAAAAATGTTTGTAATGTTACAAATTCGTGACAATTTTTTGAAATTTTTTTCAATTCTATAAATATTTTACACATGTGTAGAGTCGGGACTCCCGACTTAAGCTTTTCCACTTGGTTTAAACTATATTGTTTTTATGACAGCAATGTTACTTAGCGATCTGACATGATATTATGTAGTCCTCGGCACAAGGCTTAATCACGATAGTTCTAAAACTGTGGGGAAAGTGATTTTCCATCACCTGACCACCTGACACCATTCTTCCTTCTGAGTGTTGCAAACTTACACATCAAATACAAAACACCCTTGCACTTTTTAGTGAAGTTTATAAATATACACTCTGGAAGTTTGTCGACCATTCTCATACCTTTATTATCTGTCTCTTGCAGTGCTGAACGTGGCTGCAGGTAAAGCCCCAATGCAAATCTCAACAGAAGGTGCAGGGGCACCGCAAAAAGCTATCGATGGCTCAACATCGGCCTTCTTTACGGCGGAGACTTGTTCGCTGACCAAGCCGGAACGATCACCCTGGTGGTATGTGAACCTTCTAGAACCCTATATGGTCCAGCTGGTGCGTTTAGATTTTGGCAAATCCTGTTGCGGTAAGTAGAACCCACCAAGTTTCAGAAAAACATGCAAATTTGGAGCTCACGCCGTCATTTAACGCATTTTGCAATGCAGTGCACCACTAGCTATCGACCACCATCGACGATATCCACATCGTCGACACTGACGCATAATCAACCGATGTCAATACTAGTGTCTGGTATATTTTTGTTTTCTGCCGTGGCTCATGTCTTAAAATTTTTCTTGATTTTTCCCGCCACGCGAGAAACTCAATTAAATGGAAAAAACTACACGAAGTCGTCGGTTCACATACCCGCTAAGGCAAAACACACTTGGCAGGGAGATCGGGACAGTCGTGTCAAAAGACTTGGGGAAAGGGTTGCCAAATTGCGCAACGTGAGCGGCGGGAAAGGCAAACAACTGCCAACTAAGAGCCCAAACCACTATTAGTCGCTAGCAGTTGCTGCCACATATCTTGAAAAGTTTCCCTATTGCCAATGCTTTCACTTGGCACAGACTGCGTCTCAACTGCGACGACAACGGCAACGGCAACGACGACGGCAACAGCGGCAGCGGCAGCAATTGTAGCTTCTGCTTCAATGATTGTTATGTGATTTTTTTGCAGCGGCTGTAGTGGCGCTGGCTTAATGACTGAGTGTGTTGCGGTGGCTATGTCAGCGCGGATTAGGTGTGCGCCTTGTCGCTTTGCAAATCGCTTTCCCACTCCAACTTCCATATCCGTCTTACTCACTCACTCGCCTTCACTATGCGAGCATCGAAAATTTATGATTACTTTCACTGCAGCCAAATGCCACTGCGGCTGCGACGGCTGCGGCGGCTGCTGCTGCTGCCGCTACCACCACCACAGCCGCGGCCATCTCCGTTGAACCAGCTTGACCCGTTGCTGGCAGAGTCAGCAGAAGCAGTTACCAAAACAAACAAAAGAAATAACAACAATTCCCGACGATACACTATGGGATATACGAGTACATTTCCATCAAATATAGTTATACCAAGTAGTAGATTTTGCTTATAAACTGAAAAGCTTTTTCAAATAATGTCAGTACTATCGTAAAATACTTGAAACGATGAATAGTGGCACTGTAAACTGAAACAGGTTCCAAAAATCAAAACCGCTTTTCAAATAAAATTCCCCCATCGAGTCTGAGGCGTTAATAAGGAGGCGGGGCAGACGCCACAAAGTATATGCATATACTTCTATTATAAATGACCTGACAAGATGAGTTGATCTACCCCTGTCTGTCTGTCCGCACGAACACCTAGATCTCAAAGACTAGAAGAGCTAGGGGAACCAAATTTTTCACACAGATGCCTCATATGTGTACGCTGTGTCAGTTTATACCCACTCCCTCGGTAGGCGAGTTCCAAAACTCTGTTCGTATATTCAGAGACTATAAGTGCTAGAGATACCAAATTTTGATCCCATATACCCTGCACAAGTACAATGTGCTTCCCCGCTATTTTCCATAGCTACGCCGATTCTTGGAATATTTCTATCAAATTTGGAAAATATCTGTTAATGAATGTGTGTCCGTATGCCAAGTTTCATCATTATATGTCAATTTGGAAGTTATAGCCATTAATGTAATCTCTGCCAAAGCTGTGACAGTAGCTGTTGTTGTTGCTGCTGCTTTTGCTCAACTCCGTACTGCATACATACTCAGACACCCATTGTACCTTCTTATACTGAAAAAAACATTATTCTTAAATGAATTGAACTGTCTTCTTAATTATGGATAAAGTAATTGTTTAAAAAAATTGATGCAACTTTATTATTATAATATTTGGGTTATTATTTTTACGCATTTCTAATTGAAATAAATTGAACCGGTCGAAAATTTCTTGAATAACTATCCAAAGAAATACTAAAACTTGCAATCAATACCACACTCATTTCACATTGAGTAAAATACCTGAAGCTTTTTCTATAGTTATAATTAATGCGGATGGTATCCACCATTTTTGAATATAAGAGAATTTATTTTTTTATGTTGCCAAAACAAATTAGATAGTTAAGTATTGGGGAACATAGTTTAAAAATCCTTTTCTCATGAATTGTGAAATCACTCCATGAACATATTAAGAAAACATTTATTTACAAAGCAGTTCGTTTGAATACTCATATCTTTATGCACGAATGTATTGTATAATCTTAACTTCGGCTTTCTGTATATGTTAACATAAATATATTGACACTATTTTCAAGAGACTCATAACTTTTCACTAGCACGATGAGATTCACAGCACGATATTAGGCACAATTGCTTAGTTTTTGTGCAGTAAGTCCAGCGTTAGCTCCATTATGCAGTATTAAACTCAAAGCATTTACTAATTACATATTTCATCGGCATTTGTTCCGGCAGGTAACAAACCAGCTACAATTGTCGTGCGCGTTGGCAACAATCGCCCTGATCTGGGTACCAATCCCATCTGTAATCGCTTCAAGGGCCTTTTGGAGGCCGGTCAACCGCTGTTCCTGCCCTGCAATCCCCCAATGCCTGGCGCTTTTGTTAGTGTGCATCTAGAAAACAATACACCGAATCCTTTGTCCATATGTGAAGCCTTTGTCTATACTGATCAAGCGCTGCCCATTGAACGCTGTCCAACATTCCGAGATCAGCCACCTGGCGCACTAGCTTCATATAATGGAAAGTGCTACATATTCTACAACCGCCAACCGCTGAACTTTCTCGATGCCCTCTCATTCTGCCGGTCACGTGGCGGGACTCTCATCAGCGAAAGCAATCCGGCACTACAGGGCTTTATCAGCTGGGAGTTGTGGCGACGCCATCGCAGTGATGTGAGTTCTCAGTACTGGATGGGTGCGGTACGCGATGGCAACGATCGTAGCACTTGGAAATGGGTAAATGGAGAGGAAGTAACTGTCTCCTTTTGGAACCATCCGGGAGGCGATGAGGACTGTGCACGCTTTGACGGCTCTAAGGGCTGGCTATGGAGCGACACAAATTGCAATACACTGCTTAACTTCATCTGCCAGCATCAACCTAAGACTTGTGGCAGACCCGAACAACCCCCGAACTCTACTATGATTGCCTTGAATGGCTTTGAGGTTGGTGCTCAGATCAAGTATTCGTGCGACGCTAATCATCTGCTGGTGGGTCCGGCCACTCGCACCTGTTTGGAGACGGGTTTTTATAACGAGTTTCCCCCGGTGTGCAAATGTAAGTTAAGGCAGCTAGCCTGTACAACCTAGCAGTGATTTAATAACAGTTTCTTCACTCCCATAAAACTCACCCTTCAGATATCGAATGCGGTCTTCCAGCTTCAATTGCGCACGGTTCTTACGCCTTGCTGAACAACACAGTCGGATACCTTAGTCTTGTAAAGTACTCTTGCGACGAGGGCTTCGAGATGATCGGTCGCGCACTGCTCACGTGCGACTTTGATGAACGCTGGAACGGTCCCCCACCACGCTGTGATAGTAAGTATGCCTGGTCGCCCAATGTGATTAATATAGGATGCTAACCCATTAAAAAAATGGACAAAAGATAGTCGGAGAAAAATAAAACCTCAGCTATAATCTGGCATCTTGACATCAAAGGTATATGCCTTTGTACCAGATTCCATGTCCTTAGTATTTTCATCAGCATCGCTGATCAGTCTATATGATCATCTGATCGTGTAAATGCCGAGATACACCAAACATTCTACTTTGATTATTAACTATGGGAAATTTCATCAAAATTGTCTAAATAAGAAGGTTTTTTTTGTCAGTGTTATTCACCTTTCTACCATTCACATTTTCGCTTCCAGTTGTTGAGTGCGATACCTTACCAGGCAATTATTACAACACCATAATCAGTGCACCCAATGGTACATATTATGGCTCCAAAGCAGATATCACTTGCCCGCCAGGGTACCGAATGGAAGGACCGCAGATCCTCACCTGTCTTGCTAGCGGCCAGTGGAGCAGTGCCCTACCACGCTGCATAAAATTAGAGCCACCAACGCTAGCTGTTGCACCCTCACCCACACCCACCGTTAGATTGCCGGCCTCCACGCCATACCGACCCAAGCTTGTGTCCAGCACTACCCGTCCACCATTCCGGCCGTCCTCGCCGACAACTAGCAGCACCGTGGCCACGCATCCCAGTAGCAATACACCCCAGGTGGAAATCAATGGCGAATGTAAGTAAAAAGTTATAATCGCTCACTCTCTCTTCCATTGCGTTTTCTCTATCTAACTTAACTTGGCACTTCCTCATAGCTGACTCTGAAGAGGACGTCAACTTCTTGGTGCCCGGTACAGTGCGTGAAGAGTTCCCGCCACGCCGAACAGTGCGCCCTGTACTCATTCCAAAAAAAACAAGCAGCACACCTGCCTATACCATCACATCCACTGCATCATCTACGTGGGCCCCCACGCCGCCCCGCACCCGTCCCAGCACAGCAATTCCGGAGACAACGACGCGCAACACACACCAGATTATTCTTAATTCACATCCGCAAGACAATGAGATTGCAGATAGTGTCAACATACGGCAAAACCAATCACCCAATGTCAATGTTCCCTTCTCCGTGGACAACCCCGAACGCAAAGAGACCAAGGAAGCAAAGCTTAATCTTGGTGCCATTGTGGCACTGGGCGCATTTGGTGGCTTTGTCTTTCTGGCTGCTGTCATTACGACGATTGTCATCCTAGTGAGAAGGTGAGCAAACCATTCAACAATAGTACGTAGTATACATATGTATTTATATAATGCACTTGCTCCGGGTGGGGATATCACGGCAGGGCCAATGCCCCACAAGAACCGGATACATTAAAACCTGACACTGCTCCTGTGGACCCTCTAAGCACAATTTTCCCAAACTAATCGCAGAAATTTAGTGTCCAACGTTTTTCATTCCTCGTATCGACAACCCTGGAACTATCTCGCAGCGCCTGCCTCCCAACTCTGAGCATCATGTACATTTTGCGCAATTCATCTGAAATAAGCATACATAGTATGTATGTAAAAATTCCTACATATTTATGAGACCTAACTGTATTTGCATACATACATACATATGTGTCCACGGAAGAGAGTTTACCTTGATGTTGATTGCCCAAGCAGTGCACTCAATTTGACTTCTACAAATGCACGCACTCATCACCGTACATACTCGCACACAGGCATAAACTCACACACACACACCCACACACACCCACACACACACACACGCACACACACACACATACAAACATATTGGCCACAGCTTCGTGTAGATGATCTGAAATTGAAACAAGAGGGAATGCTACAGTAAACAAAGTTCAACAGTGCACATTGGGACAGACTGCCGATTTTTTGGCATAAATTCGAAGCATGAAGTTAAAGACTTGAAATTTGGTACAGGTGCTTGTAATGACATGTATAAGAACTGTGTTTCATTTTGGACCGATTGATTTAGGGGTATTCTAGTGATTACAAATAAAGATTTCTGTGCACTTTCAACATCAGCTACAAAATAAAAGTGGCCGAAAAGTCGCAAAAAGTCGCAAAAAGCATATTTAACATATGTAAGTTAATATAAATATTCAACTTTAATTTGGCAATATTACTTTTTCGTACAAAGTTGAAGAAAGTATGTTTTCACTCCACAATAGACGGACACTTTGTTTAAGTTTTATAAAAATATGAACAACACAAATAAATGCATACAAAAAACCAATTAACAAATACGAACAAATTTTGTTTCTATATAAACTTCCTACATACCCAGGCCTTTAATTTCCATTATTAACATTGACGTATTTTTCAAAATTAAGATATTAACAAGCTCGCAAAGTTAGCAAAAAATTTCGCACCATTTTTACCAAAACGCTTTGCAGATCGAACAACTGACTTTGAAGTATTATCAATATTACAGTGTTGCATAAAGATCAAAAATATTTATGTTTTTGTTGTAGTTAGGGTATGCTTTTTAAGAAAGTAATATCAAAATAAGAATTTTTTCCATGCAATTTTTGAATTTTTTCAAAAAAATCGGCCGTCTGGCCCAATGAGTGAATCAAACAAATTAAATAAGCTCGTGTTGCCAGGAGATGGGAAGATTCTACATATCAAGTTTGGGCACTGTGGGCTCAGCCGTTTTCGAAATCCAGGCGTTCATCCAGACGGACCTGGCTGCATCGATTTCCCTCATCGTGCTGATTAAGAATATATGTATTTCATGGGGTCGTTCTCCCTGCTACAAACTTTGCACAAACCTTATCAAAATATACATAGTTCGTACAAGATTAGAAACCAAATTTAGGTTCCATGCACAAATTCTACAAAACCCTTTGGATAAATTGTATTCGTAACACTTAAATTCAATATCGTAATAGCTAATAAAACAGAATTAAATGCAACAGCTGAAAGTTATTCCGAGTTGACCCATATGTTTATCTATTTATTTATTTCACTCCTTTTCGATCCGAATTTAAAATAGCATGATATAGCTTAACTTAAAAATAAAATACAAGAATGCATTAGAACTATTTGAACTTACAATAAGAGAGAATTGTACAGTAACCCCAAACAGAAGAAGGGGGCAAAAATCCAAAAAATTCAAGAAAATCGTGTTGGCCAGGGATAAGGCCAAGTTTGGACAAATTGGGCTCTGCCCTTTCCGAAATCAAGGCGATCATCTAGACGGACGGACATGGCTACATATAGTATATCAATTCATATCATGTCAGGGGGTCGGAGAGGATTGAACATTGTAGTTATTATCATTAGTTTACGGGTTGTTTTTAGGCGACAGACACAGAGAATCTTTTAGGCCAGGATCTTCCCCACTAAATATGCTCTTTCTGAAACACACATATGTAGATACACGCACACGAGCGCACTTGCACATCAACATCGAACGCTTTCTTTCTCTCGTTGTTCAATTCTTTTTTTCGTTTTCGTTTCGTTCTCTTTTTCTCATTTTTTTTGTTTTCTGGGCAATCATTCGTCAGCACCCCGAACAGCAAACGACGGCACAATGCAAAACACTTTACCAATTACCACCATCATCAGCAGCAGCGGCAACAACAACCTGCGCCACCGTCGCAGTACAAGCAACGCCTTCCCAGCTATGCAACAGCCACAACCACAAGCGCCACCAGCTACGCGTCTACGGCGAAGCTGACGCGTACCAAAGCTAGCGGCTATCCTATAGCACCACTTCGGCTCTACAGTGCCTACGGCGGTGGCTATGCCAGTGGCGAGGGTGGGGGCATAGGCGTAAACAGCACCAGCTCTAGTTTTCGCTGCGATCCGCCGCAATCCCTGTGGTACAGCGTTCTAGCGTTGCCCTTTGACGACCAGAAGCTGGGACGCCGAGAGCTAAGCACCTACGGACGCAGCTATCGCGCCCGGGCAGGTCTCTTTAGCAGCACTCACAAGTAGCGAAAAAGAAAGAGATAAGAGAGAGGGAGCACATATGATGTCAATTGAAGCGCAAGCCAAAGAGCGACCAAATTCAAAAGCTAAAGAAAGAGAATTGACTAAATTAAATAAATCGAGCCGAACTACCTACGATATAAAGTCGAATATGTGCCAAAGATGAACTACATCCAAACTACTATTACCACATACTGCATACATGCTTCAATCAGCAATCAAACGAACAGTCAATCAATCAACCAAGCAATCGTGCCTAGAGAGTGCCTTTTAAAACAGTACAACTGAAATATAGCTGCCATACTCACAAATGTAAGCAGAGCAAGTCCAAGTCCACTAGTAGCAAACACAAATACCACAACATACCACCACAATTTTCAATCAATCAAGCAGAACAACAAACAACACTAACTACTACTACTAGTACAATAATTACTACGACATGCAACCAAGAGAACCAAAACTAAAACCAACACCACAGCTAAAGCCAAAGCCTACATTCAATCCGGAAAGTTCGTTGAAAGCCGAAAGTGACCGACTTGCTGTTTCATTTTGTCATGCACCTCAATCATTCCATGCTCTCTTCAACAAGCAGTTGTTTTATTGCTTCCGTTGTTGTTGTTATTGTTGTTGTTGTTGTTATGCACTGCCTAAGGGAACACACACAATTTCACCAATGTGGCAAAAACACTGATCCCATTGATTTCCCCCACTGTCTATTTCACTCTCTCCCTCTCTCTCTCTCTCTCTCTCTCTATTGATAACAAATGGGTAGATTTCATTGAATTCTAAGAGTACCTACATTTTTTTGGAACCTTTAATCCATAAAGTTTTTTTGCAATCTACATAATACTTACCACATATGTAGCTCTAAATATCGGTACAATGTGAACCATTTTAGGAAAACAGGATGTCGGCATATTGGGACATCTTGGGGATATCCCCAGCCCCAAACAAAGATCATTTACAGGGACGAGGTATTATGTATAAACCAATTGCAAAAAAATACAACACTAAAACCAGTTTTTTAATACATTTCATTAGGGCTAGAAGCAGAATATCCTAATACGAATACATTTTATGCATTCGAATTTGACTAGTTTATGTTCATTAAAGTACAAATTAATTTGAGAAATTATGGGTGAATTCGAAAGATGTTTAAAATATCTAAGAATATTACTATACACCATGGCACCCGCAGATTATTACTTGTTGGTATGAGGTTTATATCTATGGAATCTAAATTGTACATGTAATTAATCATTTTAGTCGTTTCACCTGCACGCTAACGTAATCGTATCATAATTTTTTCTTTCTATAGCTCTTCCCCTTTCTTTGCACTTTTTCTGTGTATGTACTCGCATATGTATGTGTTTATGTGTATCATTGTGCTAATTGAATCTAGATACACATATATGTATGTAAATATAAATAACCCATAATACTCGGCACAATCCACACACCTCGCTTGATCTTTGTCTTGCTAACCGCACACCTGAGCCAACGGCTTACTAATACGTAGACATTTCGTTTTCAGGAATCGCACCACACAACATTATCGCCATCGCGCCTCTCCGGATTGCAACACAGTCGCCTCCTTCGACAGTTCCACCTCAGGCTCTCGCAACGGCCTGAACAGGTTTGTGATAGTCTCGCCATGTTGATACTGATCCTAATGTCCTTCGCGCAATCTTTCAGATACTATCGCCAGGCCTGGGAGAATTTGCACGAGTCCGCCTCCAAGAACAGCTCACACAACGCGCTGCGCCGCAAGGAGACGCTCGATCCGCCCAGCATGACCCGCTCACGCGACAATCTGCGTGACAACATGCAGCGTTCGCGGGAGAACTTGGACAGGTGAGTCCTTGACCAGCCAAATGTTGGCTCGATCCCACTAATTCCACTGGTGCTGACGCTTGCAGATGTGGTCGCGACAACTATGGGATGCGCGACAACTCAGAGATGGTTGTCTCCGATGTGTGCTTGAAGGGGGAAAAGAAGCGCCATCACCATCACCATCATAAAAGCAGCTCCCGAAATGGAGATTACCGCGATCGTGACCAATCCGCCGGACGACGCGAACACCACAGGCATAGCAACGGCGGCGGTGGTGGAAATGGTGGCGGCGGCCCCCACTATTGACCAACCATGGTCATCACCATCAACGTGGAGCAATGAAAGGAGCAGAAGGAGCCTTAAGCGGACATTGAACGTTTAATCATAAAGCGATCGTGAAGCAAGCATGGACCGAGTGCACAACAAACTTTTTTTTTATTTTTACTTTTAAACGTTTTTTTCTTCAATTTCAAGGCAGCCGCATCGAGCCGCGTGTTTTTATTTCTAAGTTGATAGCAAAAAATGTTAGAAAAGGTTTTAGTTCAAGTCGTTAACCATTTATATACGAATACGAATTTTGATTTTTTTTTTTTCATAATCGCTATATGGCTATATGGTACTTGTATGTATGTACATATGTATGCACATACCTGTATGTACGTATACATGTACATATAAAGGTGTCATCCACTTCGGCGCCACTCCCCGACTTTCGTGTAGGCTTCTTATACTTGTGTACATGTAAATGTATACTTATATTATATACATATTTATTGGCTAGCTTCTTTAAAGTTCTTAGTTAAAATTTTCATCAGTAAGTTGTAGAAAGCAAGAAGGAGAAGAGGCATCACTTGGCGCTTGAAAAGAGGCATGGTTGGCTTATTCTTAAATCCCATTAGTTATACATACACATACGAGTTGTAGGCAAAAAGAGCAGAGCAAAGTAAAGCATCACCAACACAATAAACACCACTAGGAACAACCTTACCGACCGCTACCGCGACCGCTCGTAAACCGACCCAACAGCGGCTGATACCAAACTATGAGCCACTTGGTTTGGCTAATTGCGGCACATACAAGTACACGTAGTACACGTGCCTTTGTATGAAAAGCCAGAAGCCAAATCGACCTGCGCATAGTAGTATTATATGTATAGACGCATAGTTACAAACAATTACTTACATATATACTTATAGTACATATGTATGTAAGTATGTATAAACACAGACAAAATAGTACGTATCATTGAATCCCGCAATCAGTAAACAGTTAACTGCAGACTGCAATGAGCATCGAATTGTTTATGGAATATTGTAGTCAGTGTGCCATCGCAGGCAACAGTTGTTGTAGACGAGGATGGGAGTTCAAAATTGATCTGCAGTAATTGATTGATTGCTGCAATATTCGCATATACTATAATGGACATTTTTATGCCTAGTTATTTTTAAATCCCTGTTGTATCTACATATTTCGATTTAACGTTACTACAATAGCAAAATGTGCATTATTTTTTGTACTTCGTGCATTATTTCCAATGTAAATAATAATAATTTATTTCTTAAATAAAAATTGTACTGTTTACAGTTTTACTCTTGAGAGTGTCAGACACGTTTTGCTTTTCTTTTTTGGCAGTTTTGTATTTAATTTTGACGATCTTCTATTGTTCAGCTTTTTCTTCCCAAGGCATTCTTGTGTGTACGTGTACTTGTACTTGTATTCTTGATCAACATGACAACATGAGCCGATTTATAAATGCCCGTCTATCTGCCCGTCTGTATAAGCTCAGAATATATTACAGCTAGAATAATCAAGCTTGGTATTAAGATTTTCCGAAGTCCGAGTAGGGAAAAGCTTATGTTTTTTACTGCCTAGACCTGCGTAAAGCTCCAATCGTAACTCTCTTAAAGGAGCCACACCTGGACCCGATCGTAGTTCCTACTCATGGAAATTCCAAAGTACACATTTTTACGTTTTCACATAAGACACTTAAATTAAGTGTCCCCAGCTCTTATAGTCTCTGAGATATAGGCGATTATATGAATGGAAAAATCGGAAAAACACCCATAGCGGGGAAGTGAAAGGAAAATCAAAAAAATTTAACCAACCAAATTAAATCAAACTTGCACAGCGTACACATATAAGGCATCTGTGTGCAAAATTTAAAGTCTCTAGCTCCTATAGTCTCTAAGATCTAAGTCTTCATACGGACAGACGGACAGACAGACATACATAGATCGACTCGTCTTGTCATGCTGATAAAGAATATATATACTTTGTGAGGTCTGCTACTCCTCTTCCTGTCTGTTAAATTTTTCACATCCCGCAAACCTAATATATTCCAATGAGCGCGAATCACATTGGCAAGATTGCAGAGATGATTTCCATATTTTCATTGCCCCAAAAGAAAAAATTAACAAAAAAATAAACCTCATCCAGCTGCTTAGATCAATAGAAAACTTTTGGTTATATTCCTGGTGGTCATATTCCGCAACACATACACAACTTTCGCTGCACTATTCATAGAAACAACTTTCGCATAACCACCGTTAACAGATTTAAAACTGATTTCCAATCTACGGCTATGGCGACCTCATCCACCTCCGAAAACTATTAACCTTCCAGCGCTACTTTTAGAATACTATGCTAATAGAATCTGGAATCTTTTCAATTGAAAACAGCAACTTTTTTGTCGACAAACTATCAAAAACACTCACTCTGGAGTGAAATTGTTTCGCTAATAACTTTTCTTATAATTGACCGATTTGGATGAAATTTAAAATAAAAGTATATATGTAGTTACTTATGTATATGTCTGTGTGTAAATTGCGCGCGCATGTGGTTTCTATAGCTTTTCAAATTTGTCTTCTCATGCTGATCAAGTATACATATGCATATGTAAGTATTTTATGGAGTCGGAGAAGCTTCCTTCTGCCTGTTACATTTCCCACAAATTTTGACACAAACTTAATATACTCGTACTCTTATACTTTTTGGCTACAGAGTACAAAAAAATGGCAACTCTACCAAAGTCCCACTAACAACATATACCATATTCCCACGTCCTGGCCACTTCTTTCAAACCACAAACTTATTTTCGCCCCAAACTCAGATGCCATATCCTGCAACACACTAGGATTACTTGCCAGAGGATAACGAAGTTAGTAGCACGGAAAACGGAGAGTCAAGCTGAACGTCCAAATGAGTTAGACGTGAAAGGTAGAGGTACCCCTGTCATAGATGTCACAGATGTGGACCCTGAGCGTGCTCCATGTAAGGCGATGAAAATTTAAAGTAATCTATTAATTTAATTTTAAATGAAAGTCACCTTCAATTCCTGATGAACACCGAGATAATGAAACTATCGCAGCCTTCATTTTTTTTCATTTATCTTTGTTTTAACTATAAGTGCGAAACTAAGGTCGCCATAACTTTTCAGTTCCTTGTAGACCAACAAGGCCATTCATTTTGTCTAGATGCACAACTGATTACGCTGTGCACAATCGTTTTCGGGTCATTTGCGGTCTAATTACAATGATCTTTCACATTTTCTTTCGGCAGAACTCTCTCTCTCTATTCTATAAAATGTATCCTTCATAGGTATCTCCGCGGAAATCTCTGACCACTTACTTCTGTGAGTCGGGCATAGCTTGCCAGACTGGCTTTCAAATTTTCCCCCATCGGGTTGGAGATTTTACTCCTTTTACTCTACTTACAAGTAATTAGCTGTTAAGTTGAATTACTTTTCCTTCTCTACTTACTATTTTTTTTAGCCTGTTAGGTCAATAATGTCTCTGACCACATATGCCTGTGATTCGGGGCATAGCTGACCAAATGGCTAATAAAATTCCCCCAACGGGTCGGAGGCATTAATAGACGTTATTGTATAGTTTTTTCTTAGGCTTTCTTATCTGTTAAGTTGAAATTATAACGTTGTATTATTAAATATCTTTATTTTATTTTATAATATTATATATTATTGTTGATTTACTAAATAAATAAATAAATGATAATCTTTATGCAGTCAAAAGGATCCTTACTGAAATGTTAGCGCCACACAGCTTTGGAAATTCGTCAATTCATTGTCATGATGTTATTTGTGTCGTCTTTTACCTATTTAAGGACACCTTTCAAAGTTTGGCCAATATTGGAGCACGAAAATTAGGATATGAACCGTGCAAGAAATATGCCTCTCAAGAAATTATGAACGAACAGAAACCATAATGAACAAAGATACTAACCATGACTGCCTGTTTCAATTACGATCGCTTGATCAAGAATTTTAAATTTAAAATTTTAAATTAAAATTCTGCCGATGAGCAGACTTGCTCCATCAAAAGCATACATTTTATGAAGAGATACAACCCAAGTATACCCCATAAATGATTATGGGTGTATCCGGGTTCTTCTACAAATTTGAATCACTGGCAAGGGAAATGTAGCCTCACCATATGAGCCAGGTTCTTGCTTCAGCATCAAATTACTCTGGGAGATTAACTAGAGGAATACCGCAACATGAAGATTTTCTACTGTATTTCGACAATTATTTCACGTCAATTCCTTTGTTGAAAACACCTTGCAGACAATGGATCTTAACGTTGATTTAATTGACAGTATTATCGGTAGACACAAGTTCTCGTTGGCAAATTAGAGTTTTATTTCCACCTATTGGACTTAACCATGAGTATTAGGTAACTTCTTTACCAACGAGCTCATGCATCACCTGGCAAAATTCTATCCTCAGCAAAATTCAGACTTGATGTAGCAGAAATGCCTTCAAAAATTGAAACTATTGCGAAGGTAGGAATGCAACATATACAAAACGAAACAAGTAAAAAAGCTAAAGTCGGGTGTCCCGACTTTGAAATACTCTGTACATATCCTGTCATAGTCTAGGTGCCCACTAAGAATGGATTTTGGAAAACTCGAGCTCCAAAGGGGGAAAACAGGCTCCAACGTTTGTATGAAAAATCTACAGTTTTCATCTGATTAACTTAGTTTGTATACTCTCAGAACAATTCCAAGAAAAACTGTATACTTGGTATTTTAAAATTTTTTTTGGGGCCTAAAATATGGGAGTTTTCCTGTAAAAAAATGTTGGGGCACAAAAGCAAACCGCGTCAACAGCCCACAGTCCACACGGTAAAAGCTAGGGTGCTGAAATTTGGGCTCAAGTATCCTATCATGATGTAGATGCGCACTAAGAAGGGATTTTGGAAAATTCGAGCTCCAAAGGGGGGAAAACGAGCTCCAAAGTTTGTTTGAAAAATCCGCATTTTTTAGCAGATCGACATAAAACTGAAACTGGTTTCTGAAATCAATTAAAGAATACAAACAAAACTGCATACTCGGTTTTTTAAATTTTTTGTTGGAGCTTGAATTATTGGGGTTTTAATATTTATTCACTATTTCAAATGAAAATTTTGTGTTATAAATTTAGGCCGATCGATTTAAAATTTGGGTAATGTAATCTACGTAACTAAATCTACAACTTTGCATTCAACACGGCCCAACACGAACTTTTTATATATTAAATATAAAAATTTAAAAAAAGAAAAATATATATATATGTACATAAACATTACAAATTTTTATTCAGAAAGATTATCTTATCAATATTTGAGCTAAGAAGCCGAGTACGTCGCTCATTTAAAATATGTCCAGAAGTGGAAAAAACTCGTTCGCTTGTTGCAGAGCTGACAGGGATATTGAGTATATGCCTTGATAATTGCCTTAGCATTTTAAATTTTGTTGATTTTTTCCAGAATGTTAGCACACAAATTCCTGGATCAACAACACTACTTATATAATCATCTATTTCAATATCCATTCTTGACCTGTCCAATTTAATTTTTTTTTTTAATTATTAGTGTCCAAAAATTCTGAAAAGTCGTGTTGACTATTGGGTGCTTCGTTTTCTTATTTAAGTGTTAAATCGTTATTTAAGCTATCATTTATTTCAGCTAGCATCGATTTTAGTGTCAGAATGACGTGCCCCTTTTTATCGGGACTTAAAAAGTTCATTTCCTTAAAAGGTGGATTCAAAAATAGCCCCAATAAATGAACTGTGGTTGGTTCAAAACGTTTTTTTTAAAGAATTTAAGGTTCGATTCTTTAGTTTTGTTATAACAGCAGAATCGACAACGCCCCAGTCGCAGTGGTTCTTCAGCTTTTCAGACCACAACGCAAATATAACAATTGTTGATTCTTTTTCAGAACTAAGCTTCTCTGAGCATTCTTTAAATGGTTTGAGAAAATTGAATAAGTCATGCATCAGGTCAAAGTCAATCCCTGAAATACGTTTTAATTCATTTTTTTCCAGTAACAAATGCTGGATTTCTAATTTAACATCATAAATGCTATTTAGCATAATATAGATTGAATTCCATCTTGTGCTTACTTCCTGTTTTAAAGTTTTGCTCAGCTTGCAATTAAGCTCTGAATGTTTAAAATATTTTACCAATTTTTTAACTAAATTAAGATTGTGACAAGAAAGCCTTTTGTGGTGGCTAAATGCGGAAACAACATTTG